ATAACCACTAATGGATTTGGGGTCTTTTGTATCAGATATCCAATTAGCGTCACTATACCCTTCTAGTACCGCTAGGTATCTAGTATAATGCAGCCCATAATTCCGGGTGTAGCGTAGATAACCTAACACATGCATAATGCCTCTCTAATGAGTGGCATTTGGATTACTCGTGTATCTACTAAGCTTGCTAATAGAGTAGGCTATATCCGGCCTTGTACAATTCATCAGATACATTAGACTTCTAATAACCCGAGAATTTTCTAGCTAAGAGACACTCTCACCATTATTCCCGGTCAAATGTAAACTCATGTCTACCGGTGTTCTAGGCACACTTATACCAAATTTCTCAAGTATCTTCTCAACATAGTGAGACTAAGAAAGTACAATACCACTAGATATTCTGGTAATCTTAATACTTAGAATGACATCTGCAAAGCTCATATCTTTCATGTCAAACTTTGAGTTTAACAATCTCTTGGTAGTTCAAACCATTTCATCAGTACTACCAGCAATGAGTATGTCATCTACGTATAGACACAAAATGACATAACCACTGTCAGTGTCTTTAACATTTATGCACTTGTCACACTCATTGATTCTAATCCCATTTGAAAAAATAACGTTGCCAAACTTCTCATGCCATTACTTAGGAGCTTGTTTCAAACCATATAATGACTTGACAAGCTTATAGACTTTCTTATTTTTCCTTGGAGCTGAAAACCCCTCAGGTTGTTCTATATAGATTTCTTCATCTAAATCTCCATTTAAGAAAGCTTTATTTACATCCATCTGATGTATCTCTAGACCACGTAAAGCGGTTATCGCAATCACCATGCGACTGGATGTAATCCTTATCACAGGTGAATACGTATCAAAGTAATCCAGGCCTTCTCTCTGTCTATATCCTTTGATAACTAGTCTAATTTTATATTTATCAATTAACCCATTAGCTTTCATCTTTCTTCTAAGGATCCACTTACTCCCCAAGGCCTTACTGCATAGGGGGTAGATTAACCAACTCCCACATATGGTTCTATAAGATGGAGTCAATTTACCTCTTAATAGCTTCTTTCCATAAGGGACTTTCAAGTGAAGTCATGGCTTCATGGAATGTCCGAGGTTATCCCTCTAACATATAAGTCAAGAAGTCTGGGCCAAAGGACTTTGCAGTCCTAGCCCTTTTACTCTTTCTTGGCTCATCTACATCCTCAGCTTGATCATCAACTTGATCATCTAAGTGATCATCTGTTTGATTAGTTATGTGATCATTGTCACTTTCAAATTCTTTCATGGAGCTCGGAATACGTTTTCAAAGAAATATGCATTTCTTGATTCCATGATAGTATTCTTGTGTATATCTGGAATAACAGACTTAACCACAAGAAATCGATATGCACTGTTATATTGTGCATAACCATTGAATATAAAGTCAACGGATTTTTAGGTTTATTCTAACCCTCTTGGGTTTAGGTATTCCTACCTTTTACATGACACCCACACATTTGTAGAATTTACACAAAGGCTTTTGGCATTTTTCAAAAATTCATACAGGGTCTTTAAACAATTCCTTGTGTCACAATGATTATGAAACTCTCAAAATCATATCACTAGAATATCCTCAACCGAATTAGGCACCCAAACATATTTGGTTCAACCTATCATTCTGAAGCCAATAGTCTTACTATTAAGAAACACAAATATAGTGTTCAATAGTTTATTATTCGGAACTTCATAACATGGCCAATAGTCTTATCACTAGGAATCACTAATTTCTCAGTATGTGGTCAGTAGACTTTCTACTACTATGAATCACAATGTCTTAACCTATGATCAGTAGTCAGTTTACTACTAGAAATCACAATGTCTTAACTTGTGATCAGTAGTTACTTTACTATTAAGAATCACAACGTCCTAACATAGGATCAATAAATTCTTTCATTACTCGGAATCATCATATATTGACATATGATCAGTAGCCTCTCCACTACTAGGAACCATCATGTCTTGACATGTGTTCAATAATCTGTTCACTACTAGGAACCACAATCTCATAACTGTGTAGCTAGTGGTCTAACACCTCCTAGGAACCACCAATTTTCTATCTCTGTGATCAGTGATCTTGTACTCACTAGGAGCCACCAAATTAAGAATATATTTAGAATTTAAAATTCAAAAATATATTTACCCACCCTAACGGGTTGTCTCATCTTTGCTTTCAAGCAAAGTTACGTAGCAATCATATATGCTATAATTGACACAAGGATAACATACTAATTACCTTTGATTAATTCAGAGATATTATTATGCAATCTTTTAATTTCCTTTAATCACACTTGATCTCTCTAGATCTTCCTTTAAAAATCTCGCAAGGCTTAAGGTTGTCAGGTGGAACAACATTTCTGTTGTCACCCCTTGAAGCCATTTCTAAAAAATCACAACAGAATTTCATTATTCTTTTTTTCTAGAAACTAAATTTAACACTAGAAAATCCACAGTTGAAAATTTAATTCAAAATTAGTCTCACCACTTAACCTAGAATCGAACATGGTCAAGAATGTTCCCAGGAAGACTGGAGGGGTCACTTCGGTCCCACTTAAAACCTAGTTAACCTTTTGACAAAACTTTCAAGAGCATGTTGACTCCTAATCCATGGGAAACAAATTTAAAATTAAGTTTTCTATGGGATAAACCAGGTTATAACAAACCAATTCCCAAGTAAATAAAATTTGCTACCAGAATTATACCACTCATAAAAGTTAACCGGTACTCCCGGAACTAAGCCCATTATTTCTGAATAAAATCAAAAATATTTTAGCTAATGCTAAAATTTGGTTTCTTTTTTCAAACCAAAACATTTTGAAATAATCAGATTATAACCAAAGACTTTCTCCAAACTTGGTTTTCCAACACTTTGGGAATAAAATTATTCAACCCAAAGACTTCCTCAAACCCCAAAAGTTTGACACCAAATCCGTCTTAATTGTCATTTCTAAACAAATAAGAACTACTCTTTAGCCAAGGCTAAACACTTTGGTTTCTATTCCAAAAAACCAAACCAAGTTCCAAACTTACAAGCAATTTAAAAATTGCTAGCCAAATTACAAGCAATGTTAAAAATTGCTACAACCCAATACACGCATATAAAATACTTCTAACAATACAAGCAAATAAAACTTGCTATTACAAATTGGTAAACAAACCAACTAAATCTCAAACAAAAAATGCTTCAACCATTTAAATAAAATAGCCAATCCATTAGGATTCTATTTAGTCCAAAATCTTTTCCACGCTTAGAAATTCCTCACTACAACAAATCGCACCGTTGGCGACCATTTTTGGCAACTAAATTTTAGTCGCCGAAAGTACATTTTTTGGCGACTAAAATTTATATTTGTCGGCGTTGGTTCAAGGTATCGCTACTAAAATATTTTAGTCAATAAATATTACTTATTGGCGACTAAATTTAAATTTAGTCGGTAAAAACTCAAGTTTCAGCGACTAAAAATTTGATTGGTCGCTATTTGTCCAAATTTTAGGCCCAAAAAAAATAAATTAATCAGTAACATTGGTTTTTCCCGACTAAAATTAAAATTAGTCGCCAAATAGTACTTTTGGTGACTAATATTTTCGTCGATATTCAGTAACCTTTTGGCTACAAAAACATTTAGTTGGCAGACCTATCCCTTTGCCGACAAATATAGAAATTAGTCGCTAAAGGCCCAATTTCAACCCGCCAATCCTTTATTTCTGCGCGCGTCCCTCTTTCTGTTATATTTTTTTTTGAACAAGCCCTCTTTCTGTAACATCACACTTTGTAACACACACACACACACACCGTCCTTCACCAAACCTCACAAAAACCACCCCCCTCACCGTAGCTTATCGTATGGTTGACATTACGATGGCCACCGCCCCTCGCACAAATCACCACCGTCACAACTCACCACCACCTCACATTGCAAGTTCTCTCTCTCTCTCTCTCTCTCTCTCACACACACACACACACGCACTCTCTTTTTCGCTCACGGTTTGTCCGTACGTCTCTCTTTCTGTCACTTGAGCTCTCTCACACAGTCTCTCTCTGTCTCTCTCTCTCTTCTTTACTTTGTTTCCCCCTCTTCTAACATTGTTGGTTTAGGATTTATTCAAATTTGAATGTATTTGTCTCTAATTTGTTAAAAATTTGAAAGATGATGTTTAATATATGTGTGTGTGTGTATATAATGCTTTGTATACATATAGGCGTCTCTGTCTCTCTCGCTCGAGCTCTCTCACGCACAATCTCTCTCTGTCTGTCTGTCTCTCTCTCTCTCTCTCTATTCCCTTGCTCTATTTCCCCCTTTTTCTCACATTTTTGCTTTAGGGTTTATTCAAAATTTAGTGTTTAGGGCTGTAATTTATGATAAATGTCAAACACGATGTGTAATATATGTAGGTGAATGTGTTTACTCTGTCTCTCTCTCTCTTCTTTACTTTGTTTCCCGCTCTTCTAACATTGTTGGTTTAGGGTTTATTCAAATTTGAATGTATTTGTCTCTAATTTGTTAAAAATTTGAAAGATGATGTTTAATATGTGTGTGTGTGTGTGTGTGTATAATGCTTTGTACACATATAGGCGTCTCTGTCTCTCTCGCTCGAGCTCTCTCACGCACTGTCTCTCTCTGTCTCTGTCTGTCTCTCTCTCTCTCTCCCCCTTGCTCTGTTTCCCCCTTTTTCTCACATTATTGCTGTAGGGTTTATTCAAAATTTAGTGTTTGGAAACATGATGTGTAATATATGCAGGTGAATGTGTGTGTGTATATATAATGTTGTGTGGATATGTATAATAATGTTGTGTGTATATATAATGTTGTGCGTACATGTTGTGTGGCTGTAATTTACTAGTTGTCATCCGCTTAAGCCCAAAGTGGATATGAGGAAAATGTGTCCACTGTTAAACAACATATACATTAACAAAAAATAAAAATAAAAATATCCTTGTTCTTTATTTATTTTTTATTTTTTATTTTTTTCCATCTATGAAAGAAGAACATATATATATATATATAATATGCTTTTTTTTTCTTCTTTTTTTTTTCTTTTGTTTACCCTAAACATGAAAACTGCAGTTTGAGCACTAATGGCCGATTATAATCCAGAGTTTGACAACTTGAAGAAATTCTACATCCCTAATTACATACTTGTGCTCGGTTCAGAGGGTGAGTGTCTCCCCGATGTACCAGAATGCCCAGTGTTAGTATTCATCAACTCCAAAAGTGGTGGTCAGCTCGGTGGGGATCTTTTTATCACATATAGTTCTCTTCTAAACAAAAACCAGGTGTTTTGGCCTTCAGTGAAGAATGTTTAGAATTTTAGGGATTTTTAATGCAGGATTGCATTAAACTTTGACAAAGTTGAATTAGATCTATTTTCACATGTGACTTAATTTTACTTTACTATTTTAGGTTGTTGATTTGTTGGAAGAAGCTCCTGATGCTGTGTTGCACAGATTAGGGGTGGGCGCGGGTCGGTTGCGGCCACGAAACCTTCAATCCGCCATCCGTCCGCCAGATTGGCGGATTGAAGAAAATCAATCCGCATCCGTCCGCCAATCCGGCGGATTTAGGGATTTTTAATGCAGGATTGCATTAAACTTTGACAAAGTTGAATTAGATCTATTTTCACATGTGGCTTAATTTTACTTTACTATTTTAGGTTGTTGATTTGTTGGAAGAAGCTCCTGTTGCTGTGTTGCACAGATTGTATCTCAATCTAGAAAAACTCAAGCTTAGTGGTGATGAATTAGCTCTTAGGATTGAGGAGAATCTGAGAATCATTGTGAGTTTGAGTTATAAATTACATGTAAAAGTTAATTTTTGCATATAGCTTATTAATTTCATATGCAGTAGGCAATGACCACATATCAATTTTGCTTATACATTTCTGACTTGGATGTAGCTCATTAGGTTGCAGGTAGGAATGGCACAGCTGGCTGGCTTCTTGGAGTTGTTTCCGATCTCAAATTATCTCAGCCACCACCAATTGCTACAGTACCCTGGGAACTAGAAACAACCTTCCATTTGCTTTTCGTTGGGTAGGACAAAGCCTGTATTTTTTTAAGTTTTGTTTTAACTTGAAAGTGTACTAATATAACTAATTGATGTTCTAATTGTACTTTGTCTCGATTTATTAAGCGGAATATATTGTCTCTGAAACAGGCAGTTAGAATTAAGTATGTTAACATTTCTGTGTGTGTTTGTTTGAATAGACAAAAAGACCTCAAAACCCACTTGAGAATTCATCTGTGTTTGCTGCTACATTCGTTAACCATTTTTTTTTATTCATTATATCCTGGTCTTAAGATTAAAATCTAGTGATTATTTTTAAGATTAAAGTTCAACAAAAGTTTTAGACTTCATTCCTTGTAGCATAGTCTATATCCACATGGATTTGACACCAAATTGAATATGATGTTAGTGTGTTTCATGTAACGCTACCTTTATATTATGTATTTGTGGAGTCTGATGCTGACAAGTTTGGAGTTTAATAATTTGTAGACAAAGAAGAATCCTGGAACATATCGTCATTCTGTAATCTCATTCTTGGATCAAGTAATGAAAGGCAAAGAAATGAAAATAGACAGGTTAGGCTGTTCACATGGCATCTTCTTTTTCAGTTGATAATTAAACACCCACAATATGTTGTTGAGTCTCATCAAATTAATTTATTTGCACCCTTTGTGTGCTATTTTCTTTGGCATCTTTGAATTGTTTTTTTCTTTTATTCTGGATGAGCATGAAGTACTTTTATGCCAAAGTCAAAGTATCTTTGGTATAACATTGGCCTAGAGGTTGGGGCTCATGCGTGACTTGGGAAATTTCTTTACAATTTAGACTAAACTTGAATAAACTCTCAACTCAACCGAGCCCATTTGAATTGTGGATTAATTGACAAAAAATGATAAAAGTAACACCCAATTTTGTGTGTTAAGTACTTATTAATTTAGGGAGTAAATGAGTATTTCAATGGTGTAGCTAAACTATGTGCTTTGGTCAGATTACTTTTCTAAGGTGTGAATGCAAAGTATGCATTGAGCATCGTTTGATTGTAAGAAACTGTACTAATGCATGTAACTAAACTTCTATCTATATATGGTCTATTCTATGTAAGTCCATTCAATATTATAATATGTGATTCATATTCATTTTAAATGTGAACCTCACCATATTAGAGTTGAATTTAAAGTGATAATTAAAATTTTATAATACTCTCTCCATCTCATTTTATGTTTGCAACTCCCCATTTTTGAAAATTCATTTTATGTGTCCTAGTTTGTGAAGTAAAAAAAATTTAGCCATTACTTCCTTATTTCAAGCTATATTTAAATACAATTTCAATTACAATTGACATCCTTCCAATTTTTGTTTCATAGATGGCTGTAATTTTTGTTTACAATGTAACTAATTGGTGTAATTTTTGTTTTGTAGATGACTTTTGGCATTGACATGCGGATCTTCCATTTTTTTATACAAAGGATAATTCACACTTTTGAACAGTTGGGAAGTTTTATGTCGTCCTCTGCTTTTTGTGTGGAATTTGCATGAATCGTACATATAATTTTTGGCGAGGTACATAATACTTTTGACATGGAACTTATTTTTATTGCCGTGGTATATATAGATTACCTTTTGTAGTGGCACATATTACCATGATAATCTGTACCATGCCAAATGGTCATTACAATGCATAGTATAGTAAAAATATTTTGTGTACAGAGGACATTGTTTTGATAATGTATTTGTTATGTATGACGTTATTATTTGTAATTGGAATATATATAGTTGGTTTGTATATAAGTTTACTTTAAAAGGTATTTTTTTTATACAAAGGATAATTCACACTTTTGAACAGTTGGGAAGTTTTTTGTCGCCCTCTGCTTTTTGTGTGGAATTTGCATGAATCGTACATATAATTTTTGGCAGGGTACATAATACTTTTGACCTGGAACTTGTTTTTATTGCCGTGGTATATATAGATTACCTTTTGTCGTGGCACATATTACCATGATAATCTGTACCATGCCAAATGGTCATTACAATGCATAGTATAGTAAAAATATTTTGTGTACAGAGGACATTGTTTTGATAATGTATTTGTTATGTATGACGTTATTATTTGTAATTGGAATATATATAGTTGGTTTGTATATAAGTTTACTTTAAAAGGTATTCTTTTTTGTTTGATGGTGTAAGTGAAATATGCGTTATGGAATAGGTGATAATATATACATATCGTTTTGTTTGTATACCTATTACAGGTTACGGTAGATATATACAGGCTATGAAAAAATATGTTAAAATGAAAAAAAAAATGAAAACATAAAATGATGTTTTTGGCGACAAAACAATTGGTAGCCAAAAATGGAGTTAAATAATTTTAGTGACTAAAAAGTTAGTAGCGAAAAAAGAATGTAATCTTTTGGCGACTAAATATTTAGTAGCCAAAAAGAATTGAAAACAGTTTAGGCAACTAATTATTTAGTAGCTAAAAAGAAAAACACTTTTGGCAACTAAAAAATTAGTCGCCAAAAACATAATAAGCTTCACACAGGGTTAAAGATTAGCACGTCTGTCAACGACTTATGCCAACTAGTCCTAACATAAAGATCCTGTCCTCATCCAAGATTTTTCTACTCTTTTAAAACAAAATAATTACACCAATTTATTCTGCCAGACAGCTGGAAAGCAGCTCACTCGAATAGAAGAAATGGTATCTCATGTTAAGAAAAGCTGCAAATTGGAACCTAAACCTCCTATTCTCACAGATCCAGTTTTTATCAAACCATCTCCAGTTTTGCAAAATTTTAATTTAAAACCTAAAGCTGATACTGATTTCATGGAAACTATTCTATCACAAATCCGTGATTTAAAAATTACTGATTCTTCCTCTAAATCCAAAGCCCAGGTACTTATGCTATCCAGTAATCCTCTTCACTCTCTTCCCGAAGATTCTTATCAAAATTTGAGTCTCCCTCAAATTCTTCAAATTGAAAAAAATTTTCAAACTCCTGAACCCACCTCTGTTAATCGTGTTTATACACCTAACATCCAGAAAATGGTCCCTGTTGGTAGTACTCGTCACTATTACCCTCGACCTACTCCTATGGATATATTGTATGAAGAAGATTTCCTCCAGACTCAACGCTCTTATAACAGTACTGCTATTTATGAATGGAATATTGATGGTCTTTCCGAATACCAACTTTATGAACTCCTTCATCATATGCTCATGTTTGCTACTGTTTGTAAACAAAATCATAATACCGATCACCAAGTTGCTCGCATGCTTGTCAATGGTTTTACTGGCGCGCTGAAAGGCTGGTGGGATAATTATCTCACTAATAATCAATGTTCTGAAATCCTTTCTGCTACCAAAATAATAACTACAATTCCTGATCGGACACCAGACAACCCGAATCCTGACCCTATTGAGACTGAAGAAGAAGATGTTGTCTACACCCTTATTAATACTATTGTTGCTAACTTTGTTGGTAACACTATTGGTATTGCAGATCGAAATAGGGAATTACTTATGAAATTAAGATGTCCTACTTTATCTCATTTTCGTTGGTATAAGGATGTTTTTCTGATGAAAGTAATGCAGAGAACAGATGGAAGTGATGAACATTGGAAAGCCAAATTCATTGATGGTCTTCCTCATCTCTTTGCTGAACGAGTTCGTAAGCGATTACGAGACATACATCACTCTGTTGATATTCCATATTATCACTACACTTACGGTCAGTTGATTAATATTGTGACTAATGAAGGTCTTGCTTTATGTAACGACCTTAAACTTCAGCAACAACTTAAACAACAACATTTAATTGGAAAAAGAGAGGTAGGAGATTTTTGTGAACAATTTGCTTATGACCCCCAAATTCAATATCCTTACAAACTTCATAAGCAAAGGAAACATAAGAATCATTCCAAGCCATACAAAAAATCCAGAAAAGTTTCAAAATATTCTAAATCTCAACCTCAACCTCAGACATCTAAATCTCGACCTAAATCTAAAGGAAAATCATTTCAGAAAAATAAATCTAATATTAAATGTTATAAATGCGGACAAACAGGACACTATGCTAGCATTAAATGAGTTAGCATTAGATGAAGAAATACAGCAAAAAATTTTACAGTTAATTTCTGACTCTGATTCCTATTCAGATGAGCCATCTGATAATGAATTAGCAGCGATTTACTCATCCTCCTCTGATACTGAGAATGAATATCCAGAAAATGAACTTTGTCCTTGTAAAACTTCTGTTAATCAAGTTTCTGATGAGGCCAATTACTGGAAGTCAATAGTAGAAATGAATGGTTTAAATATTAATAGTCCAAGTATTAATGTTTTAACTGATTCTGAACAAAATCTTTTAACTATTGCTGACAGTATAAAAGATCCAGAAATTAAATTAAAATTTCTTGAAATGTGTTATAAACAGAAAAAAGAAGAAGTTTTAGTTCCTACAATTTATGACATGAAAGAAGTTTTTTCCCGTCTTCAAAATCCATCACCCTCTAAAATAGATAAATCGGTTTCTGTCCAGGATTTAAAAATGGAAGTTAATGCTTTGAAAATCGAAATCAAACATTTACAGACTTCTAATCTCGCAATAAATTCTGAGATTAAAAAGATTAATAAAAAATTACAAGACAAAGAACAAGATAATCCAGAATATTTGTTATCTCTAAACAAGATAACCTTTCAGAAATGGTATATTCGTATCACATTTATGATTCAACCTGATTTTATTATGCGTGATGCAATTGCTTTGGTTGATAGTGGTGCTGATATGAATTGCATTCAGGAAGGATTGGTTCCCACTAAATATTTTCAGAAAACCAGTCAATCTCTTACCAGTGCAAGTGGTAACAGTTTATATATTGATTATAAACTGCCTGAAGTTTTGATCTGTAATCAAGGATTATGTTTGCCAACTTCTTTTGTTTTAATTAAAAATATGGCTCAAAATATAATCCTTGGAACACCGTTTTTGAATCTCTTAATGCCTATTACTAAAATAGACACTATTGGGATTCATACAGAACTTGATGATCAAAAGATTATATTTGAATTCATTACTTCTCCATACACAAAAGAATTAGATCAGGTTTCCGACTTAATGTATTTAAAACAAAATCAAGTTAATTTTTTGCAAAAAGAAATTAGTTTTCTTACTACAGAACAAAGAATCCAGCAATCTGCTTTTCAACAAAAAATTAAATTACTTGAAAAAGAGTTCCAGGATGAAATTTGCAGTGATGTTCCAAATGCTTTCTGGGATCGCAAAAAGCATATGGTATCACTTCCTTATGAGCCTAATTTCAATGAAAAAAGCATTCCCACAAAAGCTCATCCCAGCCAAATGAAAAAAGAGTATATGGAACTTTGCAAAATTGAAATTAATACTCTTCTCCAGGAAAAATTAATCAGACCTAGTCGATCTCCTTGGAGTTGTACTGCTTTCTATGTAAATAAAAATGCTGAAATTGAACGAGGAACTCCAAGACTAGTAATTAATTACAAACCTTTAAATGAGGTATTACAGTGGATTAGATATCCTGTCCCCAACAAAAAAGATCTTCTGGACCGACTACAGGATGCAGTTATATTTTCTAAATTTGATATGAAGTCAGGTTATTGGCAAGTTCAAATTACTGAAAATGATCGTTATAAAACTGCTTTTACCGTACCCTTTGGGCATTTCGAATGGAATGTAATGCCTTTCGGATTAAAAAATGCTCCTTCCGAATTTCAACATATTATGAATGATATTTTTAACCCTTATTCCGAATTCTCCATATGCTATATCGATGATGTTCTTATCTTTTCCTCTTCCATTGATCAGCATATGAAACATCTTAATATTTTTAAGCATGTTATTTCCAGAAATGGACTTGTTGTTTCTGCTCCAAAAATGAAACTTTTTCAGACTCAAGTAAGATTTTTAGGACATAATATACAGAATGGTACTATTATTCCTATTGATCGCAGCATGGAATTTGCATCCAAATTTCCAGATGAAATCAAAGACAAAACGCAATTACAGCGATTTTTAGGAAGTCTTAATTATATTTATGATTATTATCCTAATCTTGCTACTGACGCTGCAATTCTTTATACTCGTTTACGCAAAAATCCACCTGTTTGGAGTCCTGAACATACAGCTGCTGTCAAAAAAATAAAGGCTCGTGTTAAGACATTACCCTGTTTATGTCTCCCTTCTCCTGATTACAAAAAAATTGTAGAAACTGATGCTTCTGATTTAGGTTTTGGTGGTATCTTAAAACAACTAAATCCCAAAACCAGTAAAGAAGAACTTCTCCGTTTTCATTCTGGTATTTGGCATGATGCTGCTAAACGATATCCAACCATTAAAAAAGAATGTTTAGCAATTGTTAAATGTGTCTTAAAATTCCAGGATGATTTATTAAATCAAGAATTTTTAATTCGTGTTGATTGTTCTGCTGCCAAACAAGTTTTCAAAAAAGATGTTGAAAATTTAGCTCAAAAACAGATTTTTGCTTCTTGGCAAGCTGCCCTTTCTGCTTTTGATTATAATATTGAATATATTAAAGGAGAACATAATTCTCTCCCTGATTTTCTGACTCGTGAATATCTACAGACTTCTCATGCAAAATCGGGGTAGAGGTCCAGGCCGTCGTGGCCGTGGACGTGGATTTCCGCCTCCACCTACAGACTTTCCTTCCCTCCTGGGAATTTACAGTAACAAAGGGGAATCTAGCCAATCGGTTAAAGAT